TTCCTGAATGTCTTGTTTTATGGCTATTGGATTTGTATAACTCTAGTTATGATCCAAACATGAAGTTGTTGTTTCCAGTCCAGAAATAGACATATGCTAGTTGTGGTTGTTTACTTTATGTGTTGCTAAGTGTGGCTTATGCCCTTGTTGATGGTCAAGTTATGATACTTGTGACCTTGTTAAACTTGTGTCATGCTTAATGTGCTTGCTCTCTATAGTTAGTTGTGTGATATTAGTTAAATAGCTATTGGTGTCTATGTCTTGCATAATCTTGTGTTTGTCTTGAATGCTTATGTGACGTATCTTGTATTACCATTCTTTATATTCATGCACTTGCATCTTGCATCTCATCTAGGTGCGTTAGATGAACCACGTGAAGGACGTGATGTTGGAGCCAAACCCGAAGACGGTGTATGGTGGACCTATCCCGAAGGTGGAAGGATTAGACAAGTGCTAGGACGGGAGATGCTCACTTAGCGAGTGTCGTCTAACTAACACTGACTCAGTGTGGGATCCCAGGCAAGCCCCGGAGCATTCTAAGTCTCCTACTTTATAAAAGCAATTCTTTCTATATATGAGTTTATATATTATTGCATTAAGTTGTAGGAGTTGATTGAAACCGTTGATGCATTTATTACTATCCTTACCTACCTTATTATCTTTTTACCCTGTTAGGTCGGGATCGAATAACTGCTTAGCCTTGCTTAGACCAGTAGCGATCGGTGATTTTCGGTCACCTACATTTATAGGTGGTTACTAGAAGAATTTAGCTATGGAAAGAATGATATCCTGGAATTAACCATGTGTGATGAATAATTGGAGACCGGACGGAAAAGTTGGAGCAACAACGGGGTGTGGTTCCGGTGTTATTAGTTTTCCGTCTATATCGATTAAGGACCGATCGTTGCTCGTCCCTCTTGTCATGTTGAACGATATACCTCACATTTAGCTGGCCGAATAAAGTATCTTTCGACCGCGAAGCTAGTGACACTATTTGAGCCGGATAAACTCGGATTGGCGATCGGGTGTTGAAGGGGGTATGACGGGGACGCCAAGAGTGAGCCCAAGGTGCGCCCCGGCTGGCGTCGGGCGGTCCACAGGTAGTCTTGGTCCATGATCGTTATCCCGCGGCTATTTAAAAAGTGTCATTGGTGATCTGTAGCTCACTTGATCGGTGAGTGTGGTTTGTGTGAGGAATAAATCACCAAATGGTTAGGAATCGATTTGAATCGCCATCGCTCCCGGATAGTGAGCACTTGACTCGAAACTACAAACATCGTAGTAATTATGATGGAACAACGATGGTTATCTGGATGGTATGGGATATGCTAAATCTATGTTGGTAACTGGATGTTATTGGTTAATCAAGTGATTGCTATAGTATAGGTGCTTACCTAGATGGATAGGTCATAATAAAGATGATGCAAAGTAATTAAAATGGTTTCTTCATGATAGCTTATGCTTTTCGCAAACGAGTCAGCTAGCCCACTAAAGAAAGTCTTGCATAATCCTTGGTGTCATTTGTTTTGTTTTCCGACGGGTAAGTTTAGCTGAGTACATTCGAGTACTCAGGGTTTATCCTACCATGTTGCAGGTGAAGTTCTTGGCCTGCGGAAGATGGTGGCTAACCGCCGGTGGACTCGATGACTCTTATTTACTTCTCACCTATATGATTTTATCAGATGATGTCACTTATGCTAGCAATGTATTTAGAACTTATATTAATGTAATCATTTGAAAGCTATGTTGTTTTCTCTAATCGGTTTTAAAACCCAAACTTGTACTATTATTTGTGAACCCAATTGTAATATTATTTCCGCTGCAACTCTGCGTATGTGATGTGTATTTGCTTAATCACGCGATCTTGGTTGTGATGTTGATTTACCGAGGTCCTTCGTGACACTCGGCGGACTATAGGGTTTGTATAAGTGAAAGTATGCGCGTGTCAACGTGTTAGCGGGGACATCCATACTTGATCTTGTATAAATTTGACGGTTCTATCACAATTGCCATCTAGTGTAAGTTCTCATGCAATGAGAACATTTAGAAGGTCATATGTTTTTAGCACATAAAACATTATTGAACATTTGGTACGTAGGGAGGCTGGCCATCTTGTGATTTTGAGGAGTACATTTATGGCCCCAAGTCGCACTGGCCGTCAGAGTATAAAGTTGTGGAGTTTCAAGCAGATATTAAGGAGTGGCCTTGCAAGAGGATGTCAGGTTGTAAGTGCAAGTGTGGTATCAAGGCTCGTGTGTGACGTCCTGCCCCAATCACCCGCGCGGCAATGATGCCTGTGTGATGGGTGCGATCAAGCTGAGAGAAAGGAAGGAAAATGGGTTGAGCCCGCGAACTCTATAAGGATCTATCGCGCCAGACGAGGTGGCATGACAGTTCTGTCGTGCCCACGTCGATAGGGTAGGCCCCACCATGGCACCCTTTGTCGCGCCAATGCATGTGGCGCGACAGAGCGCTATTGTCGCACCAGCCACACTGACGCGATGAAAAGAGTCAGATCTATATCTTGTTTCTAAGAGTGGTTATTATTAAAATATTGATTAAAATGATTAAAAATAAAAAATCATAATTGATGAGTGCTTCATGATGTCTAGGTTCATTCTCTACCCTTCGTCTTCCACCCCCATGCCTAGAACAAAGGTGTACTCACCTTCAGCCTCGCGTATGAGACACAAAACATTGCACCTCTTCTTTCTGTTGAGTTGCTCCCAAGCTTCTGAAACCACCCTCGTGTCTACAACTCCTGCTCGGGTCAGGTTTTTAGGGAGCACATAATGCAACTGCTTGGTGCCAATTTGCATCTTCTTCCTGGTGGACGTTCGCATGATTGCACTGTGAACACTTCCTGCATCGACTGTGAACCGCAACTTCGAGCAACATACTATATTGACTAGTACGCATGAGCCACCGGAGCCTTCGGCTCTAGTCCCTCGGTGGGGTATACTTCTAATCTTACTCTTTCTATGTTTAGTTATAAATTTGTGTTGCTTACGATGAGTGCGTTTGTCGTGGTTGCCACTTTAGCGACTTACTGTAGTTTACACGTGCGCATATATCTTGTCACGAATTTATTACTATTTTCTGGATTAAATTAAATATAAAAATGCCTAAATTTCTAGCAGTATTGTAAAACAGCTCATATTTGTGATGTCAATTTCATCTGATATACCCCATTCGGGTCTCTTGGATGAAAATGGTGCGAGAAAAAAAAATGTTCCATGTAGCTCACTCGGTTACGAGCACGTAATTGGTGCCTCTCACCCAACCAGTAGTTGAGGCACGCCCTGGTTGCTTGCTGCTCTGCTCACGCACGTACTATAGCACTATAAAACACGCAGGAACTGGAAGTGAATGTCACAGCTCAAAGCAGGCAAAACGCAGAAACACAATCCATCGAGCTAGCTAGCTGCAGCGATGTCTCGCTCTTGCTGCCTCGCCGTGTCAGTGCTTCTCGCGATCGCCGCGACAGCCAGCGCCACCTTGCCGGCATTGCTGCACGAGGAGCACCTCGAGGAGGCCACGTCCACGAGCCTGCTAGTCGCGGAGGGCGCGAGGGTGGCGGCCTCGTCGTCCACCTGGGCGGCCAACAAGGTCTCGCCGGCGCATCCGTTGGAGGCGAGGCCGATCGGCGGCATGGCCACGCAGGGCGACGACCAGAGCTCGTCGGGTGGCAGCAGCGGCGAGCACGGCAAGGAGGAGGGGGGCAGCAACGAGGGAGAGAAGCAGGGCAAGAGCTGCCTCACCAAGGAGGAGTGCCACAAGAAGAAGATGCTCTGCGGCAAGGGCTGCACGCTCTCGGCGCACAGCAAGTGCGCCGCCAAGTGCACCAAGTCCTGTGTCCCCACCTGCTAGGAGCCGTGGCCGAGCAGCCGGAGCCGGCGGCGAGACCTTGATCGATCGAGTGTTTCAGTTCTTTGGTATAGTTCCTGTGTGCTGCGTAGACGAAGGGAATAAGGAAGGGTACTTCTTCGATATTTGTTCCAGATTTCTGTGTAAGCGTGTTGTTGTGACAAGTCATTTGATCCAGCGAGACATTTGTTCTAGATTTCTGTGTAAGCGTGTTGTTGTCATTTGATCCAGCGATGAATAGATCGTGCTCGCACTATTTAGCATGCCTGTCCAATAACAGTACAAACACACAGATATTTGCTAGATAATAAAGGGAAACAGAAGCTCACCGAAAGCTGTCTAGGCAACAACGAAAGCTGCCCATGGCCCCGTTCGGCCGACAGAATTTTAACTAAAACTGGCTAAAAACCACTGTTCTGGCTGAAATTGTTGTTCGAAAAAAATAATGTTCCGACTGAAAAAAGAAGCCGAACAAGTCGAATATGGGATAAGCCGAACGGGACCAATAGGGAAAAAAAAGATATCAAATCTTCAAAAATGATGTACATGGCTCACTTCACTCGTCAATGATCACTAAATCGACCACACAACACAACCCAACCATAAACTAACAAATGCAACCACTTAACTGTTGCACATGCACATGCACATGCTAACGGTATATGATTAAGATGTCACAGACAGCAAAGAACTAAGTGGCAGAGAAGCCCTCCCGAGCCCCATCAGCTGATCAGCACTCGATTGGGGCCTATAACATCTCCAGCAGCCGCTGAAACGACATCCACATAATATCCCAATTCGGCTGGTATTAAAGCCGGCTGATAAGCCGGCTAAAGGTGTTTTGATTGTGAGAGAAAAATACTGTAGATTCTAGTTGATAAACCGGCTGATAAGTTCAAGCGAACAGGCCCATGGCAGCTTCTCTTCACAAATGACATGGATTATGTGTTAGCATGTGTGTACAAAAGGGGCGACCAGCAGCAACAAAATGCCTTTGTCGCTGTTGTGGCCTTGGAGCTTGATGGCGGCGCTAAGACTGAATAGCTAGCGCTCCATGGCAGCTGATAAACAATCTCGGTGCCATCTGGGGGAAGCATTTCCCATCTAATTGTGTATATCTAGTATGTCGTCAGTCAACTCATGATTTCCTGGAAGACAAGAGCAAGCTCTTGTGCAGCATTTGCAATCGCCCCTTTTCTTCTGTTGAGGTTAAACAGAAAGACAGAGATATGAGTATTGCAAAAATTTATAAAGAACTGAAACCAAAGCCACACAATAAATTCAGATAAGTATGGCCTCAAAGTGCCAATGAATAATTCACTCAACTAAACCATGTAGGATTTAGCATGTTAAGTAGACTGCTAATACAGGTCAAAGGTAAAAATTTCTCTAAGGTATAATATCAAGATTGCCAAATACCTTGTTAGAGACGGAAGCTTATTTTTTGCCTTCTCCAATTCAATGAAGCATAAGTTGCAGCGCTCCCTCCTACAATAAATAAATCGCATCAAGTAGTCTAGTAATGGCCCTTCATACAAGCAGCTATCTGAAACAATACCTTTGCTCTGCCTCAAGATCTACGCCAACACAAGGACCTGATGATACTGTTGAATGTATCATTGGACCAAAAGTCCTTACAAGCTTCACCAATAATTCCAATGCAACGCTTAAGTGTCTGCATACATTCAACACAAACCGTACATGAATCAATCAAAACTTCTTTCCAATAATGATTGTTGGAAATGGCCCCAAAAAACCATCATAATCACTCAAAAACGTTGCAGCAAGTACCTGTCAATTTTACTCTCCAGAAGATCAGTGACAACAGGCAGGATAGAGGTACATAAATCTAGTGTGATTATTTCACTTCTCTCCATCAGAACAATAGCCATATCAGCACAGACCTGAAATTTCCAGAAATCACACAATCATTAACATGCTGATTATTGCAAACAAAGAAAGAGCTGTGAAGTACTGACAGCATGATCACCCATCCTTTCCATCGCAGAGAGCACACCCCTGACGTCATTTCTTTCCCACATTTGATGAATAATCTGCATGTCAACAAAAAGGGGGTATCCTTTGAGAAATTGTAGTTTAAAAACCGATCTTCTATCCAAACTGCTTTACTCCACTGAGCAAAACAGTGATTTACAAAGTCCATTATAACTGGAGTAAAACAGTTTAAAAGCCTATCCTCTATCCGAATTATAAGTTTAGAAACCACAACATAAGGTACATATATATACTCTTTTTTTTTATTAACCTGGACTGTTTATACCATCAATTTAATTGGTAGGAGCAAACTAAAATTATAAAAATTCTTTTTCTTGAGCAGCATTACACGACCAATACAGCCAAATTGTCAAGCACTGCACTGACCTGCAATTTTGTCAGCCGAGACTTTGTTGAGCTTAGAAATAGATCATGTTGCTCCATGATAAGAGATAGAACATCTTCATCGCTAGCTATGATTGGAGTTTCAGAAGCTTTTTGATTGTTTCCTCTCTGCAGAAGAGGAAAGGTTTCATATATATCTCAGTGTAAAAATAATAGATGGCCAAACATGCAATTCCATGTATAAATTGTTGTGTCAAATAAGGGCTGCAAGTCTTCAGTATGGTAAGCACAAGCTAGTCAAGCATGATTGCCATGATAATTTCACAGGAATTGTTGGAATTCAACCGTGTTTCAAATGGGAACTAGCGATAGGTCTAGGCTGAGCCTGGGGCAAGAGTGATTGAAGGAATGGTTTTGTCATACTTTATCTTAGGTCTATGATGCATGCACATGAATCGATGGGACAGCAACAGCCACCAAGATAAATGAAATCAGATAATAAAGCAAGCACAGTATCTTCAAACTTAACTACCCCTCATTTTTACAACATTCAGAAATTAAAAGAAAAGGATGAAGTAACAGAACGTATAAAAGGTTTATAGCTTGTCTTAGACATACAGATGAATATGGACGTCCTGTAGGAGCCAGCGAAGAACTGCTTGTTGTCGGTTCTTCGTGACTAGGGGACTGATCCCTCCCTTCCCAATTAGAGACACTTGACCTTGCTCGCCCTACATGATAATTTATTCAGAAACATGAACAGATTACTGGAATCAAAACATAGTAGCATCTTCCGTAAAAAGATACACATAGTAGCATAAACCATACCTGCTCTTGAAACTTCGATATAGCAGTTATCTCTTGGTTTGCGTATTCTAGAAACATCTGTAAAACAGAACCAAATGGAGTGATTACCCAAAATGTAAATTTTGCCAAAACAAAAGGTAGCTAATAACTCAACAAAACAACAGACATGTCTGGTGTTTCTCGCACGATTCAGAATGTAAGCTTTGAGAAACCATGCTTCGTCCAGATAATGCTGAGTAAACAGCATATTAATAAATCAAATTCATGACAACTACAAGATACCTACAAATTATTGAGCACCTTAAACAAATAAATCTGTTAACTCTTTTCTTTAGTAAGTAAATTGTTTGCTCATTAATGATTGATTCAATGAAAGAAAATGGAAATGTGACTAGATACTCTCTTGGATTCAAATCCACAATTCCAAAGCATCTAGAACTTACTATGATGAGTACCTTCTGTGTATATTTTTAGATAAAGATATAACTAATAGCTGCTGCCTTGTGACCATGAGGTCACGGGTTCAAGTCCTGGAAACAGCCTCTTGCAGAAATGCAGGGAAAGGCTGCGTACAAAAGACCCAAGTGGTCGGACCCTTCCCCTGACCTTGCGCAAGCAGGAGCTAGGTGCACTGGGGCTGCCCCTTTTTTTATATAACTAATAGCATTACAAATATGTGCAGATGAAGGCACAATCAAATCATTACATACATGTAGGACAAAGACATGCAATGCAAACATGCATAGCACATTATGAACACAACATAAATAGCAAGCAATAGTAGTAGTTCGACTTGTTAGTCCATTAAACAAGTTATGAAGGAAATTAAGCACCACTAACAATTGTGAAACATGTGGATCTAAGTGGTAGCAGCACATAAAACATATAAATGAGTACAGATCATACAATTCTCACTGCGGACACTTGCATTTGGTTCTGATGAATTCGAAAATCCCATCCTGTCAACTGGACCACACTTTACATCTTCACGAGATTCTTCAGAACTTATTGTTTGAAAAACACCATTTCTACAGGGAAGAAATATTTGGCAATTGAAGTCATCTGTTTCAGTAATTTTACTTCCGCTATCAACTTTGTTTGAATCAGTTTTGGCATGGGTTAGCTTCCGTAGCTCAGCATATCTTGACTGGATTCTGAATGGTGATACTCTTCCAGCAGAAGGTTCTCTCCTAGAATCAGAAATCATTTTCATTCTAGAATTTGTTCTGGGTACAATGACAGGTACTGCATCCGCACTTTCTTTCTTTGAATCAGTACCAGAATCTAGCTTTCTGTTTGACTTTGAAAGAGCGGGAGCAGAATCAGAGGCCATCTCCATTCTTACATTTGCCCTGGGATTGGAAACAACAACAGGTGCTGTATCAGCACTTTCTTTTTTTGAATCAGGGGCAGATTCCAACCTTCTGCCTGACTTGGAAGTAGAAATGGGTGCTGAATCAGAGGCTGTTTCCATTCTTGAGCTTGCTCTAGGAATAACAGGTTCCACATCATTGCTTTCTTTTCTAGAATCGGTAGCAGGATCAACCCTTTGGGTTACCTTAGGAACAACAGGTGGCACATCAGCAGCATCGCTTCTAGAATCAGTAGCCAACTCCCCTCCTGAGCTAGTTCTGGGAACAATGACAGGCACTACATCAGCTTTACTGAAATTGTGAACATTAGAGGCACTGTTACTCCGCAACGAACTTCTCTTCAAGGTGGTACCACCAGATTGAAAAGCTGAATTTCCAACAGATCTATTATTGGAGCTAACTCCAGCCCTTTGTGGTGTGCTTGGGACCAACCCGCTTGCTTCAGTATATTAAGAACAGATAGAAGAGAGATAAGGCATATGAAATGCTTTAACCATTAAATGTAGAAATGAGTAGATAGAGATGAGCAGGAACATACAGGGTGCTGATTTAGTCTCTTTGGGTGCAGAATCAGAGTTCTGGGAAGCCGACAATCTTCCTGAAGAAGTTTTCAAGTTATTCTCTGAATTTTGCAAGACTGATGGCCGCCCTATGTTAGCCCTTGAACCACTATCATTTTGTAAAGGCATAGTGCCGCTAGACACAGTCTTCAATTCAGAATGACCATTTAGTTTTGTTGAAGTACCCGTTGCATATGGCTCAAGACGCTGCCAATTGATTACTTTGTTAGTAGATTCAAGAAAAAACAAAAAAGGAAGACTCCAATTGACTGTAACAGATCAGTGTTACAAATGTAGCTGAAGCCAACATACCGTCAGATCAACAACCCATATTCCAACACAACTTTGATTGAAAGAACAACCAAGAAGTTTTCCCTCGTGGACATTCAAATCAGCAAGTCTAGACCATCCCACATCAACAGTATCATGGCATCTTATTGGTTCCCAAGAGAAAACCTGCTTAATTTAAGAAAAGTTTATCTCTAGAAGTCATAGTGTACAAGAAGTTATCTGGACATGATCACTTGAGAAAACAACAGCCCTACCTTTAAGCTTTCGTGCAGCCCACACAACAGAGATCTTCCGTCAGGATTGAATGTCATGGACCGTACACCTGTTGCCTAGTATTTTTTTATGGAACACAAGAAGTAATTCAAATGAATTAAATACTGATTTGATGGAAACAAAAGAAGTATTCAAATGAATTAAATAGGTGACCCCCAATTGAACTGAATTATGAATTAAATAGGTGCCCCCAAATTGAACTGAATTATGCTGCAAAGCATTAGCATACGACTGTTTGTGGTATAAAGTAGCATCAAACAGGGAGATCGAAGTTTATGTTCATTTTCCATTATTTTTCGATGGAACATAGAGATAAGATCCCCACCCAAGTTACTTATTAAGGAAATAATGCTAAAATTCTGAGCATTACAAATGCAAAGAAAATAAACAATTATGAATCAGCAGCTCAAAATACTAATGTACCTCAGGTCCTGTAGATCCAATCAACTCAAATGTCTCCAAATCCCAGAACTTGACAGTTTTATCAGCTGAACCTGAATGAAGCAACGAGTTTTATGTAAGAGAGATTTAGTTTCAAAAGGAATATACTCTTCTGAGCTCCCACATAATCATATGAATAAACTCTTCACTGCCTGACAGGAGACAATATGCGTCTCCACCAAAACAAAAATGGAATTTATTATTTGATGACACAGAAAGAAAGTTTATATAGAACATATAGTACACAGTTTCAATGCATCTCTTCACAGATGTCACCAACGAAAACAAGCATGATATCTCACAACAAAAAATTAACACAGTACATGTATAGGAATTTACTTAAAGCAAGCTAAACTATGCCAAGATATGACTACTTGGAATTTTTTTTGTTCAATAATCAAAAAGTTATTATGGGGTGTGGTGGGGCAGATAACAATTGCAACCATAGTATGATCCATTACACTTTGCCACTTAAAATGTCAAAGGAGCATTCATTACACATTGGTTCAAATCTTATTTTTAGTTAGGAAATCATGTTTACCGGCTCAATGGAAATCATTTATTATGGGGTGTTTTTAGATAGCACCTAAATACTTAAATTAATTTACCGGCTCAATGGACAGACGAGTCTTTTCTTCAACCAAATGCCAATACAGAAGTCTGAGATTTAACCATAAACAAGTACATAGTACAACCAAAAGGGACAAAGAAAAGTTAACAGTTAAGAAACAGATAGGCATTGTAAATTCTGAATCTAACCTGTTGCCAGAAGGAACTCATGGGGGTGGAAATCTATGCACTGGATCTGACCCTCATGACACTTGAATTCATGTAATAACTTTCCAGCTGTCAGATCCCAGAGCTGCCAAGGCAAAACATATTGTAATGAGTTCCAAAAAAAATAAGGATTTTTCATTAGAAAGATTAAGGCAAAATAAAAATCAAATTCCAGCAGAAGAACTAGCAATTGAAACACACAGCACTAAGTTACTAGCAAATTCTTACCTTTACTATATTATCTTCGCCACCAGACACAACCCAGCGCCCATCGGGTGTGAATCTAATAGCATTCACCCCTCGTGTGTGACCTTTGTATGTATGGATGCAATTCTTTCTTCTTATATCCCATATCTTCAGATTAGTGTCCAATGACCCAGAGGCAAAGAATTCCCCAAACGGATGGAAATCAACTGACATACAGTTTGATCTATGTCCAGTAAGAGTGCGGACAACTGCATAAGAAATGAGCCAAGAGATACAACATACAATTACTTAAAGATTCATACATATATTTATACTGACCACATATTAATAGTAAGTTAAATATTTGTATTTGCATACTCTTTGCCTCCTCCAAATCCCATAGTTTTATTGTTCCACTGGCTGCTCCTGCAGCCACAAACACTTCCGTGGAATCAAAACCGACAGACTCCACAGCACTTGTGTGACCTGATAAACTCTGTACAGCCACCAAAAAGTTAAAGGAGTGGATTAAATAAAGTACTCCATCCCTAAAAACACTACTTGTGACACCTTTGTTAACTAAACGAACCATCCTCAAAACACATTGCTGTGCGGTAGGTTGATAACTAACATAAAAGTATCTTTGTATTAATGGAATACCAGCATAAAGAGAACTGTGCTGCATAGGCTGTCAGCCGTTGAAAAGGTGAAGTTCTCATATTGTAACCAGTTGAAGGTCAGCAAAGAGTTTTGTCAAGTGAGTTAAAGAGTTTTGTTTTCCTACTCAACTGTGGATCCACAGCTTACAATCAGTCGATACGTAGAAACAGCACTAGACAAATCAGTCTTACCAATATTGAATTGGGCTTCCCAATAGCCCAAAGATTGACCTTATGATCCTCTCCTCCTGTGACAAGAACCCGCGAGGTCTTCCTCCCAATCTTGAGGCAGTTAACATTGGAAGAGTGTGCCACAAACTCCTCTACACCAAACACAAGTCAAGGCATTCCAATGTAGCAAATTTGGCAGCCCAATCTCCCCCAATAACTTACGTCAATGTACCACTTCAGACATTTTTCACAGACACAGAATGCCAGCAATCGCACTTCTCAAATAATAAAACAATAAATCAGTAACGACTACTAGACAATCACCAGCAGCTAAATGTGACCCACCCAATCTCACAACCACCAAATACCTATTTCTCATCTCAAAAGAAGCAGAAAATTGAGAGTCATGAGCTCCCTCTCAAACTTGCTGACCCAAATCTCAACCGCGGCAGCAGCGATGGATCAGCCATATAGAAAACCCACTATGCAGCACCCCCGACAAGAAATTAAAAAAAATAGCGAAATAGCGCAAAGGAATCGACGAGGATACGGAGCTTGTAGGCGCGCTTGGTGTTGGTCGTCATGGCCGTCTACCTACGCAGCAAATACCGCGCCGCCGGGTCCAATCTCATTTCAGATCACGCCGACGCCACGGCGCCACCAACGGGACCCCCCAGCCCTTCGAGCCCGGATCTCGCGCCCCGCCTGTCCCCAGCACGAGGAGGGCGTACACCTCCCGTGAGAGCCTCCCTCCCTCTTCCGGGGAATAAACCCTGCCTCGTCCGCCGCCGCCGCCACTGCCCGGTGGGGGCCGGGCGCCGCCGTATCCGCCGCCGCTCGGGGTGGCGCGGAGCGGAGGGGCGCGAGAGCGGGGAGGGGCTGGCTGGAGGAGGGAATGTGGCTGCGCTTTCGGGTTTGGTGCGCGGTCGAGGTGGAGGCAGGACGGGGGAGGGGAAACGGAGCTGTCTGGTCTCTGGTTGGGGCCGGGCCGGGCGCTGTGCGGGGTGGGGAAGGCAGGAGGTGGAAGACGAGAGAGATGGGCTTGGTTCGAAAATTTTCGAATTAAAAACAGCTGGGGGGTTGGAGCTGAGGAGGGCTCGCTGATTAAAAATGGCGCTGCGGCGTTGGGCAGTGGGGTGGGGGTGGAGGTGGATCTTGTTATGCTCTCGACGCAAGCATTTCCCAAATCTGTCTTTCTCCATCCTAATCCTAAAGTATAAGGATCGAAATATGTTCTAAGTTTAACTGAATTTTTAAAACAGAACAATAATATGTACGGCACCAAATCAGTATCGCTAGATTCATTATTATGAAATAACAATTCATAATTTACACCTTTGATATAGTAGATATTAATAAATTTCTTTATAAACTTAATCAAATTCAAACACACGTTATTTAGGATAAATTTTGATCTCTTATATTTTGATATTGAGTGAGTATAATTTTTTCACGTGAAATACTAGTTTCGTTTATTCATTAAACACGTGATAGATGAGCTGTTTATCGGGTCATTTACACGCTACTAGGATAAGATTATACGCCATCATCGACAATTAGGCAATCACATCTGAACGTTTGGTCTAACCAAATAAGGTAAGGAGTAATCATTTGGGGTGACAAACGTCCTGCACTTGGTTGAACGCAGCGTGCTGGACAGCGGAGGAATTCACAATGGTTCCTTTGTTTTCACGAGCGTGTTATGCTATGGGTCCACGTAAATCATTTTTGTGGTGCTCGGCAAGTACAGCTAGGGTTATAGGTGAAGAGGATCTTTTTTTCTTTTTCTTTTTTGGAGCGGAGTGCGTGAGAATACACGTAATACTTATGTGCACTCCATCTGAATTTTAAGTTAAACCTTATTTAGCATGGTTTTGACTCCTTATTACAGTGTGCAACGAATTTAAAACCGGTGAAGCTAAAAGTAATAGTTTCATATAGTTTCAACTTATTCTAGAAAGAAATAAAAACAGCTTCTGCGATTCACGGACGGAGGTGCCAGAACCGGCCGAAACTCTACCGAACAGAGACACATTGGTTACATATATGTAATTAGTTAATTTCCAAGTAGTACACTGACAAGGAGGAGGATGTTTTTAGCACAAGATGCGATGACTAATAATTAATATAATAATAATTAAAGAAGGCCAGCTCCCAGCTCCCAGCTCCCAGCTCCGTGGTGGCTTCATGATTAGCAGTAGTTCAGTTGGCTCTGTCGAGGAAAATTGGGATGGCATTGGTGGAACCAATGAAATGAAAGATCCGATAAATTTGTCTGCTGGCACGTCTCCTCTCCTTTTTATTTTCCCTGAAAAAATATTCGAAATTGCTGCATGGCATGACTCTGTTTGCATTCGCATGCATATTTGTGTGTTCATAATAACGATATAGTTGCACAGTTACGCGTCTCCCTCCATTTCGAGTTTGACTAATAGCATCAAATTAGTTTTATTAAATCATCCCTGATATATGTCTTGATGATGGAGGAGCCTATGGAATTTTGTGAAAAACAGAACACGTAAATGTTAATATAGCTTTTCAGTCAAAGTAAAAAAAAAAGCTTAAAAACATACTTAAACTACTTATCAGTTATAGAAAGTTTTTTTTCTTTACAATAAATCAGCATCAGCCAACTTAACATCATATTTTGAAAGGTATATAGACCAGGCGTAGCCTACTCCCGTAGTCCCTTCTTGGACCAGAAAAAACGTGGCACGGACTACACAGGAACACTTGCGGCCAGTATAAAATGAACTTAATGCATACTGCAGCTACCTGTGTGGACGAGAAGACCGTAGGCAGGCGCGTCCCCTGTGCGCATACATACACTACACGGGACGCTGACCAGAACTGTTGCAATACTAGCCAAGGACGAATGGACGAAGACCTTTGACGAGAGACCGTGTGGCGCGTCCCCTGTGCGCATACATACACTACACGGGACGCTGACCAGAACTGTTGCAATCCGCCAAGGACATGCTGAGCTCACATCTCAGGCCTGCCTAGCTTGGTCGTTGCCACTCCATTTCGACACAGCACCCACTCCTCCCGGCCGGGTCCAATAATCCAAAGCCATTTCGATGTGGTCGCATCGCGCGGGGGGACCTAACCGGCAAAATATCACATCTTCGGTGCAATCCATAAAAACCTCAATTAAACCATACTTAGGAGTTTTCAAAAAATTAAAACTATAAGCACCAATAGTGTATCTGTAGATGTGCATTGTCACAAAATCTGAGATTCAAATTCATTTTACAAAAATTCATATGAAAATAACAAATTTCATTTGCATATACACTAGAGGTTGCAGATGCACTATTGATGTGCATAGTTTCATTTTTTTTGAAAGTTGCTAAGTATGATCTTGCAAAAGATTTTCACGATTACATCGAAGATGTGTTTTGCACTTAATCACCCTGTTCGCTGGCTGGTGCTGGTGCTGGTTTTTGTAAGAGAAAAATACTATTGGCGGATTGAATAAGCCTGACTGAAACCAACAGACGAACATGATGAATATGTTGCCAACCTAACCACCCCTGCGCTCCACCCGCGCGCCGAATTCACACGTGCTATGCCGCACCGTGCGTCCGTGCCCGCACACAAATGCCTAGGAATGGGGTAGAGGTACAGGTAGAATCTTAGCAGTCCGGCACTTATGCCTTGTTTAGTTCCCAACCAAATTATCAAAAAGTGTTACAGTAGCCATTATATCGAATTTTGCGATACGTGCATGGAACATTAAATGTAGACGAAAAAAAACTAATTGCACAGTTTAGTTGTAAATTGCGAGACGAACGTTTTGAGTCTAATTAGTCCATGATTGAACACTAATTGTCAAATAAAAACGAAAGTGCTACAGTAGCCAAATTCTCAAATTTCACGAACTAAACGCAGCCTTATTACCTCGGTTAGTTTTTACACATTACATGCATTAATTTGCTGGTGATGTAATAGTAGCAGTGCGAGTTGCATGTGCAGCACTAAAAGGTTTCGAAATTTTCGCTGTTAAATTATCTATTCGTCCATTGATGACATGCCCAGAGAGATGAAATTCATTAACTAACCTGCTTGCTGAATGCTTACTTGTGCAACGTGCTGTATAGGTGCACACGGACACGGGTCTATTTTTCGATGTCTGCATGTGTGAGCCTGATACGATACGACGTTTGGTGGCCTAGGCGCTTTCACAGACCGACTGCGCGGAGTCGCTGACAAGCAAGTAGCAGTAGCAGTACGGGGACAAAAAGGGCGTCTCCGTCCCAACGCATACGACGCCGCATCTACTGCTACTACTTTGCAAGCGTCGTTTTGGCAAGCATTCCGTTCGCTGGAGATCGAAAAAAGGCGGGCAGCCAGCTGAGCTGTGGTGACGCAGAAAAGCGACCGGCAAGTACAACGACCTCAACGAACGAACCTGCCGCTGCCGCTGCAGCAGCCAGCAGCCGTCCCGAGCTCGAAAACGAGAAACTTTCTACTAACCGGGACATGACATGGTACACGAGCAGCTTGCGCGAAACAAGCAGGCGAAGATGGGCTGCTGTACGGAGTACGCCTGTACTGGGCTGCAAGAAAAATAGCAGCAAATCGAAGGGACGCAGCGGAGAGACGGAGAGGACGCCGTCGTCCCGGCTCCCGGGAGGGCGGATCATTACGGATTTGCAGCTGCAGGGGCCAGGGGACGAGACGAAGGGGCCCGTCAGCGTCAGGACGAATGATGTGTGTTGCATGCCCCTCACCCTTTTAAGTTTTAACAGCTGTATAATGCACGCAGGCAGGCAGAGGCAGGCAGGCGCCACCCACATGGCTGGCAGCCCGGCGGTGGCCGATGATTGTGCATGCTGCGCGGGCCGCGCTCGATCCCATCCCAATTCAACTCCCATGTGATGTGGATGAGCTTCTGCTTCCGTTCCACCAAACGAAACATGGATGCCAAGAGGCCAAGACAAGACTCTGCGAAACGAGTCGCTGGCCAAGGCTATCGTTAGGCTAATCCGGCAGAAATCACAGCTCACTCAACACATGCCTGCCGTACGCTTCTGCGCTCTGCGGCGTGGACGTGTGGCCTGGACTGGAGTCTCACAATTACAGCAGCGCATTGCACATCTGCACTTCACCGTGTGCGTGGCGTGTTGGACGACGGACGACCCGAGCGACCCAGGTCCGGTCCGGTCGGGTCGATGGAGCAGTAGCAGTAGCACGCATGTGTGTGTCGGTGCGCCCTTTGGATTGGATGGGAAAATATGAGTAGCGCGCGCGGTGGTAGCGACGGACGCAGGGACGGATTGCAACAAGCGAACGGCCGGCCCGGGCGTACAGGAACAAGCAAGCAAGCGACCAGAGGCCCCGGACGGCGACGAGCCCCGGTCGCGGCGCCTCGGATTCCTTGAATTGACGCGCCACCAGCAGGGAGATGAAACTCTTCGCGTCGCCTTTGACCGTCCTGTGCACCGGGCGGATCCTCCCCTCCCATCCGGCCTCCGCGCGGCCTACCAACCGCTCTTGCTTTGCTTTTGCCGGAACGATGGGTGCTCGCACGTACGCGCTGCGGTGGACGGAACTCGTGTGCTCCGGACAGAAATCCCACCCAGCCGGCGCCTGATTTGGCGGTGTTTTACAAGGGAAACGGGCCGACGACGCGCGGGAGGGTTCGTTGGGCGCCGAAAGGCGAATTGGCAGCCGCACCGGGCGCGCGCGGTCCCTCCCTCCGCGCGGGCGCCTCACCTGCCCCTGCTGCCTCCCCGCGCGTGACGTTCATAATTTCTCCGCGCCCAGGCCGCGGGGCGACGATTCATCACGCGACCAGCAAGGCGAGTGGCGCGGCGGTCTACGGGGGAAATGCAGCTAGCCGCGTACGAGGAGGCAGGCAGGCAGGCAAGGCGGCCGCATGGGTTGCGGCGCAACTTGCCTTTGGGTAATGCCGCGGCCTGCTATCCTCCACTCAACTCAAGAGTACCGCTCGGGGAGCTGAACAAACTGAGTGAGGATGTGATTATGATAAATGATAAATAGAATTAGGAAAAAGATCAAAAGGTGATCACCATGGCTCAGCGTAGTTTAAAATGACCCATGACAGGTACTACCTACTGTACTAGTCTGAAGTCACATATATACACATCTATTGACAAGATCAACAACATAACACACCGTGTACGTGAGATGTCTGGTTAGGCGAGGTCAAAAGCCTGATCCAGAATTCGAGTCACAATGCCCACCGCAACAGTGTTACCCTGAGACCGCAGGAACACCCGCCCAAGGGCCTTCAGCGTCGAGAATTCCTCCACACACACTTCTTTGTCCAGCTTCACCTGAAGACAGAGAATAAATAAACATTGCCAACGATTATATTAGAGAATAAAATCCTCGAGTTGAATAGTGAATACTTGTACGCTAGATTTCATGTGACTTCATCTTACTTCAACCACGGCGGTCTGCCTCGCGGTGAGCAAACGTGGCATTTTCTTTAAGGCCTTGCCAGTCTTCTGGTCCAACGACGACAGTATTTTAACCAACCTCGCAGACACCCTGGCGTGATGTATGTGCAGCTCAAACTAGAATATTTTGATGGAAACAACAGATGAGAAGATCGTATCACACTTATTATCCTTCACATGCTATTCATTTTGCTGTTCCACTAACCTGAAGGCCAACCAGTATTGGCATGGTGATTTCTAGAACCAGAATTTTCAGCTCCAAGTGAGAAGCGATGCGCACAGCGAAATCTGGATGGCAAAGAACTCCACCTGACACAATGTGACCAGGGTCGATGCCGTGCAAACCAATGGCAACATTGTCCCCGGCTCTAGCCAAGCTGCAAGTAGAGGAATCCCGCTCAATGGCTCTTACTGTGGCTATATCTCCAGAAGGCATGACAAGAACCTGATAGCAGAATATTCATCATCAAAATAACATCTTCAGCAGCTTGTAAATATAAAACAAGAACAATGCAGATATTAAAGCTAGCTTGACCATGCAAACATATAAAGAAAATATGTTGTTTAGCAGGTAATTAGACATGACAGGAAAGCAACCAAACTGATAGCTACTCTGTAGTGTGATGCACGATCGTAAGCAAATCTTCTGCGCAACAAGAGGCAACTATACAAATCAACACTTCATACGTTGTCAAACATAACATCAGAATGGTACCTTAGAGCCAGTTCGGATCCCTCCAGACTCTATTTTACCACAAACAGCCACCTGACCCAGCGTGTGAGATGCAATAACATCACATATTGGAAGGCATAGTGGCCTTGAAACGTCACGATGAGGAGGAGGTAATGAGTCAATGGCTTTCAGCAGACAATCTCCATTGTACCTGACATCAGGCATCAATAAATTGATGATCAACAGCCAAGTCTGGGGGAAAGAGTGATGCGCATAGAGGGCCATCATTAGAACTATCTTACCATGATAGAAGACGAGAATCTGAAGAAGCTGTGACTAAATTTTCGTTTGCCATTGCACTCAAAGGAACCCAGGTGACTGAAGAGTCTTTGTACCCACATGACCGAAGAAAGGTACCAAGTTGCGATTTAATGGACTGAAACCGCTCCTTCGAATATTCCACCACATCCATCTTATTAACAGCAACTATCAAGTTCTCAACACCAAAGCTCCTAATAAGTTGTGAGTGTTCCTTTGTCTGACCAATTCCATTAACACCCATGCCAGCTTCAAATGAGCCTATAGATGCATCAACAACTAGGATGGCGGCATCAGCTTGTGTAGCACCAGATATCATATTAGGAACAAAATCCTTGTGACCAGGGGAATCAAGCAAAACCACACGGTATTTTTCGCTATTAAAATATGCTATATCCACAGTCATTGTAATGCCACGCTCCCTCTCATCACTGCTCTCATCCATAGCCCAAGCATATGCAAACGACCCTTTCCCCCGTCAGAACAAGTATCACAAAAATATAAACAGCTAGAGATGCATAGAAGTACAGGCTGAGATGTGCTAGCAATCTGAATAACAGAACTGACCTTTTCTTTAGCTTCTTTCTCATATTTATGCATTTGTTTTTTTGAAATCAATCCCAGAGCATGTCGTAATCGACCACATAAAGTTGATTTCCCAGAATCAACATGACCAACCTAGCAAATCGTTTCGGTCAAACTTGAGCAGAACAAATCCATTATCTACATGTAGACAAATGAAAAAAGATATATGCAATTGTTGCTTACAATGCCAAGACTTAGCTGTTTACGGATTTCTTGATCTTCACTCTGGAGCATCCATGGTTCTGGCTTGTAGTGTGAAACAGAAGCTGCTTTCTTAATGTTGGGTTTACTGTTCTTCGGTTTGCTCTCCAAACTCAAATGCTGTAGCTTAAGAGTTATATTTTGACTACTCGAAGGAACATTGCTACTAGTCCCACCAACTTCATCCAATTGTACTGATGCACTTGGGTCCATACTTGCACTGTTTTCAGTTAGAAGAACATCATTATCCATCATCTCCTTTCTGGTCACGTCAATAGAATCTTTAACTAGAACCTCTGTGTCAACTGGTATACATTTAAGTCAATATGGAACTATATACATAACCAAAAACTGGAAGCTCAAACATAACATTCACTAGCACCATTTGAGCAATTTCTCAAGGGGTCAAAAAACAAAGAGCCACAAGATTTGTCCATGGTTCATAATCATAAAGACAAATTTTGTCTTCTGTTTGATCAGAATCATTCTCCATTATAAACATGAAATTTATCAAATTCGGGTTAATTTGGAAGAAATTTATATGGCTTCACAAAATAATGAAAAATTTGACAAAGAAAGGATCCACACATAAAATGTTGCATGCATTTGAAGTAGTCTGATGTTCAACTGTAAATAGAGGGGGCAAGCATTGCAAAGAGTACCTTTTTCTAAAGTTTCTGGATGATTTTAAGCCTGTAATGACCATGTCATCTGGAGATGGTGTATCAAACTTGAAAGGCACTGTCAATATCAACATAATGCAGTCACGTTCCAGTTCATTTTACTGTGAAAATAAATAAGCAAATGAAACAAAATATCAAGTGGGCAGTAAGAAAAGGTAAGAGGTGTGCCTGACCACACCCTACAAAACTACAATATATCCCCCCCAAAAAAAAAGAGAGAGAGAGAGAGATTTATCCAAATTACAAGGGAACAGAACACAAGTTAGGCCTAGATAAAGCACATTCCATGAGCTGACATATTATAAGCTCATCTTGCAAATTTCTGTATAGAAATGTAGTTATGATAATTCAAATCCAAACCCTAATAATAAAATTCTAAGACCCATTAGTCAGAGAGACCACTCGCATGCTCCCAATTTCCCGTATAAGATGCCGAGAGCTGGCTTAAGGTTATTATTACCAGAACATAAATCTGCAAGTTGATTGACATAGTTACTACCATATTGGCTTTACTCAACAAAGTCTGCTACTGCTAGTGCATACAGTGACTCTGTACAGTTAGCTAAACAAATATCTTATTAATGCTAATAACTAAAATAGGATAGTACACGTAGAGCAATAAGAGTTTGGATTATGTCGTTCAACAAAAAATCAGACAAAGTAAAGAACGCCTCAATTTACTATGTAGCATACCTATGTTAATGTGGCACTTTTTGCGAGTCATGTATGTCTTATGTAGAGCATCCATGGTAGCTTGCTTATTCCCTGTGCCTGTTGTATTTCTAGTGTCTTCAAAACCATCAGAGAGAACAATAGCCTTTGACTCTGTACTAGATGGTGTAAAAAGAGATCTTGCGAGTACGGATACTCCAGAATACTTGTGTCTGCATTTAGCTAGATTTCAGGAGGGAGAAGTAACTAAATTAAGATGCTAGACAGAATTAATTATATTGCATCACTGTAGTAGAATATAATATAAAACAATTGTTATATACCTCCATCTTCGGCTTCACTGATATTATTGAAATACAGTGAGAGATAACGAAGTACACCACATAGCTCACAAGATAAATTATCTGTAGTATTTACATGCGTGCAAATGGAGCATTGCCACATCCCAGAAATTTTAAAGGGCTCCTCAAAACCAGATCTGTTATCTAGCACGGGAACAAACTAAAGAGTAGTTAGTGAATAGTTCTTGTGGTTCGAGAAAAACTTGGATCCACCATGTTGATTTAGCAAGTGAAAACTAATAACTTACCATCTCTTACGCCCAGTTTGCCAGCTTTACTATCTCTGTGATTGACACATCTGGCACATGTATCTTCCAGATTATCTGTTCATATCAATTAATCATGAGCCTTGAGGAAAAAGCATGAAACAAAAACCCTGCCATAGTTGCTAAATGTGCAACAAAAATTGATGGTTGGAAACAGATAATCAGTAGACTGACAGTTCCCTCCAAAGCTAAATCAGCATTATATATATTACATAGAAAGGGAAAATTGATCAGATGATACAGAGCCTGTCAATCTCTCAGACCAAACGTAGCATCCACTAAGGACACTTAGAGTGGGCGGTGAGCACTATCCAATAAGAGTATGAAGCCGATGAGGGAAGAAACGAGCAGAGGGACACACCTAGCCAGTATCAGAACTCCCGTCCCAGGTACCAAAACACCCCCAGAGCATACAGACTGCAGTAAATATGTTCGATTGCAAACTAAAGCAAAAAATCTAGATCACAAATCTCATATTCGTCGCTAACCATAATTCATGTGTTCGATTGCATACTGCAGCCCTAATCAAATTGAGCACAAATCGCAGATTCGTGACTAACCCCGATTCCTCGAACTCCATAACATACGCCCAGTGGTGCACTTGACATTGTGAATCAAAATAGACAGAAGCTGCAAGCTTCCCTCCACATTACATACAGGGGTGGATCCAGTACAAGTACAGGACAAGTTTTTCAAAGAATCGAAGTCAATGTGTATAATAATAATACATGCTGGATCAGATCCGGATAAAATAGCTTACCTTAGAGTTTGGAGTGCTCGGTTTCGTACGGCTGGCAGCGAAGGGCGTACCAGGTGGGTGCTCGTCGCCGGCGAAGGACCCGACGAAGAGGGCGTCGCCGCTCGCCCCGTCGCCCACCGCAAGGAAAGAAGCTGGAGAGTAAACGATGAGGAAGCTAATGGGCCAGCCCGTATAGGCCAAGTAACGGGCCTATGGATATGAACAGCCCAACTCGAGGGAAATAATCAGCTCGTTTTCTTTATTTTTCATTCTTCTCCTTTTTTTAATTATATGCAATCTTTGTGGTTATTTTTTTATATTTAAGTCTTTCAGTATTTTTTGCTATATATGTGGAGGTACAATAAAAAAACTCAATAATAATGTAAACCAGTTACCTAAATAATTTATTACAAACACAACTAAAAATTAACTAAATTTAAAATGAAAAATGATATCCAGTTTTATGTTTGGATTAGACATCAAAATATCTAAATAAAGGGTACATGCAAATAACTTAATTAACAAATGGAGGGCAGGATGCAAGATGCAGAGATACATTAGGGCAACCTCGCTTGCAGCGAACACATGTCAGGCATGGTTCACCTATCTCTTTGTGGCGGCTAACAAGTTTTATAAAACTAGCTTGGTCTAGTTCATTATATAAATTCAATGATAATAAAATTATGTTCACGTTGTAGAGTTTTCGAAAATAAAAGAAGAGCTTGATATCTAAATTCTTTGCCGAGCGAAAGAAAAAAAAGAAAAATGCATCCTAATTTTTTTTAATAACAATAACCGGTCTAGCCGTGCTATTTGCGTTGTCGATCTTGCTAATTTGTTCTTAGAAAACATAAAAATTGTTATATCCATGAACCGAGGGATGAAGCATGTGCTGCTTAAATTTATGACTCTCTACTGCTTTTTTTTATATAAACAACCGACAATTTATAACATAGAATAATATATGCATTGTGCTTCTTAGAAAAAAAAATACTTTTATCACTGAAACACCCAAAAACATTAGGGAACATCTAAAAATGTGCCCGAACAATCCAATACGTTATCGAAACAAAATAACTTGGATATTTCAAAGAAACATCAAAAAATCCAATACGTTACTTTTTCGCGAGGAAAATCCAATTGGTTAGCATCGAAACAATCCAATAAGCGCGCGATGGAGACTCGGACCGGCGATGACCCAAGCGCAGAAGTGTCGGTCCAAGAATACTCCTTGCTTGGCAACACGTCAACCTAGGCTAGAGAGAGAAAAAAGAGATAAACAGTACTTTTCAGTCGGTCTTTTCAGCGAAGCGAACAGGACCACAGCAGCGAGCATCCGGCTACGCGCGGTGCGGCTGCGGTCAGCTGTCCGGACGCTCTTCTGTCCCTTTCGTCCATTTCCCCCACCCTGCCGTCAATCAAGTGCGTTTTGCACGCGTCGCAAGCAAACACAAGCTCGTCGTCACCATCGATCCATGCCCTCCATCTTTGATGGACACGTACGTTTCCCCGGTGACCTGACCTGACGGAGGCCGTCGCGCGACGCGCGAAGTCGCAAAGCGCACACTAGCAGGCCGAGGCAAAAGAAAAGAAAAGGTGCGAGCACTTGGCCACGCCACGCGTGACAACGGAGCGGAAAGCAGGCGCCTGCCACTCAACTCAACTTTGGCAAACAAATTCTTCGCCTAGAAGGAAGATTACTGCTGTTACCTCCGTTCCGTTCCGAAATAATGTAACTGTAGACGCAGCCAAAATTAATAACCTGTCATAAATTGGACTTGATTTATCAAAAAGCAATATTAGGATGCATGATTCGAAACTGGTAAGGTAAACTAAGAGCACATATTTATTTTATTGACGAATCTGATAATGTTTATCTAGTTAAATTGAATAAATATTAGTATCTTTTTTTATAAATTTATTTACACTTTTTAGCTTAGCGCTATTCTAGAGTTATATCATTTTTTTTTCCGAGACCGGAGGAATAGCACAGTACCATGCGGCAACAACGTGTGATCCCCACCCCCGGTGGCACCGGCGACCTCGCCGCGTCGGCACGTTCCAACGTCCAGGCTCCAGCCTCCTCGGCACGTTCTCCAACGCCCAGCCTCCAGCCCGAATGCCCGATCGATCAGATGAATCATGCGAGAAACCAGAGGAGAATCTGGGCGGGCCGGGGGCTAATCACGGCGGGACCGCGGCGTCAACGAGAGGACGGGAGTTGGTGCACCGGACCGGACCCGAGCCGCGAGCGGGACACCCAGCACGGCAGGCAGCACTAAGCAAGCTGGGCAGCTGGCTAGCTAGAGCGTCAACGTCAGAGCCGCATCGCCTTCGCCGCACCACCATCCACCACCTCGCTAAGCTAACCCGCTGCTTTCCAGTTTCCATCCATCGCCCGTTGTTCGGCCTAATCCCATCCCATCCTCTCTTTAGTACTTTTTGCCTCTGTGCCGACGACGGTGGAAAAGGAAACTGAGTGAGCCCGGCCAGTCTCCGGCGGCGAGAAATAGCTAAATCCTCCTGAAGCTAGCTAGCTAGCTCGATCGGCCGGTCCGGCGAGATCATGGCGTCCATCATCGTCATCGCCGTCGTGCTCGTCCTGGACGTCCTCGCCTTCGTGCTCGCCATCGGCGCCGAGCGCCGCCGGAGCTACGTACGTGAGCAGCTCAGCTCTATTCGCTCGCTTGATATATAACCTGCTGCCTTGTTTCTTTCGATTCATTCGATTCGCGACCCGATGGATCGTGCACGCACGAACGCGCAGGCCTACGTGAACGTGGACTCGTACGGGCGGGCCTACTGCGTGTACAGCTCCGACGCGTCCACGGCGTACGGCGTCAGCGCGCTGCTGCTGCTGCTGGCCGCGCAGGCCGTGGCCATGGTCGCCACCCGCTGCTTCTGCTGCGGCCGCGCGCTCTCGCCGGGCCGCCGCCGGGCATGGTCCGGCATCTGCTTCATCGTCTGCTGGTAACATCCCTCCTCGTCATCTAACTAATCCAATTTCTTTACCGCTGCATGCGCTTTGGTTTAATCAGATCACCAGCACCCGAAATAATACATCGATCACGATCGCTGTGCAATTAGCCCCCTCTGGAATCTGGGTTCTTGCGGTCGTACACCTTGCACTCGCCCAGCTAGCTGATCTCAGCTCGTCACCCTGGCAGTTCACCTAATCACCTGTGTGAGCTTCCAGCTTGCAGTCTGCTGTAGAGTAGATTGATACGGACTACCTGACCCTCTAGGTTGTGCTGTGTTGTGTACTCCTGCAAGTCAGTTCATCAAGATCACCTGTCAAGCCAAACACGGCTGTCCTGTGCTCAAATCTTAGCAAAAGATGGACCAGAATGACAAGAGCAAGATTAGGCAAAGCTATTCAGACTTAGCCACTGAACACACCTCCAAAGTTGGGGAGACTGCAAATAAAGTGCTTTTCAGCAGGAGGGATACGGACTACCTGACCCTCTAGGTTGTGTTTAGCATGAGGGCTAAACTGCAATTGTTATCAAGCCCTGACACCCCAAACACGGCTGAACACACACAAATCTGTACCAGTAGCAGAAGATGACTAAGCAGAATTTAGATGAGCAAGAAATTAAGCTTTTTTATTCAGACTTAGCATTAATTTTAACACATGCGTATTAAATGTAGATAAAAAATAATTAATTAGCAGGAGGGTGAAAATTAGCAATCTTTTGAGCTTGTTTAGCATGAGGGGACAATATTGTTAGCCCTGACACCCCACCACGGAAGATTTATCACAGTTCTGTTTTTTTTAGCAGAAGCAGAACAGGCCCTAGTTGAAGTGTTGTAGTTGACAGACAGGCTCGAACGATTGACCTTCTGAATGTGCTCCTCTGTCTCTGTTTGTGATCGAGTGCAGGGTGACGTTCGTGATCGCGGAGCTGTGCCTGCTGGCGGGGTCGGTCCGGAACGCCTACCACACCAAGTACACCTCGCTGTTCAGCAAGGACCCGTCCCGGTGCGCCATGCTGCGGAAGGGCGTCTTCGCCGCCGGCGCCGCCTTCACCTTCCTCACCGCGCTCTTCACCGAGCTGCACTACCTCTTCTACGCCAGGGCGCGCGACGCCGCCGACGTGCCCCCGCCCATCGTCGGCGGCATCGGCATGACCCGCATGTGATCCTGCGATTACTTTTGCGGCTGCGGTCGTGATCGCGGTGACCGGCGGTGCAGGGCTGCAGGCAGCCGCGCCTGTTCCGTTGTGGAGCCGTGCTTACATGTGCTCGCTCGTTCCTTGCATTCCACGGGACCTTGACTGGACTGAAGCGTGTGATAGTACTGTGACCTGCTGCGTGCTGGTAGCTGTGAATTCGTCCTCTCTGTAATTCTGTCAGGAACACAACATAGTACATTAGTCATCAGCATTCAGCGTAGAGTGAATTAAGGCCTTGGCCTTGTTTAGTTACTCAAAATTTCAGAATTTGGCACTATGCAAAAAGAAGATTTCCCGTCACATCAAATTTTGTTGTATAAATATTAGTCTCGTATATTTTCCAAAATAAAAAAATAATTGCAATTTAGTTTATCTTTTTAACGATTTAACGTTTTGAGCCTAATTAGTCAACAATTGACAATTATTACCAAATAAAATAAAAATTGAGTGGAACTTAACACGCTAGTCATCAGCATTCAGCGTAGAGTGAATTAAGGCCTTATGTTCCTCTCCTGAAGCTCCATGTCCCATCAAATGTTCGGACGCATGCATAGAGTATTAAATATAGGCTAAAAAATAACTAATTGTACAGTTTGCGACTAATTTGTGAGATGAATCTTTTAAATCTAATTAGTTCATGATTTGACAATATGGTGCTACAGTACATACATGTGCTAATGCCGGATTAATTAGGCTTGATAAATTTGTCTCGCGGATTATGGACGGATTCTGTAATTTGTTTTTTTATTAGTATCCGAACATCACATGTAACACCTCCATGTGATACCCGATATGACATCCCAACACTTTACAACCTGAATTTAAACGGGCCCTAATTTTTGTATAAAGAATCCAAATAAGAGCCCAACATATAAACAAGCTGATGTGGATTCTTTAATTAATTAATTAAATTAATACCAAGTACTATGGGCCATGGGTCCTGCCATGGGTCCTGAAAATTTCACATTTGGGCTACAATAATAATATGGTGTCCCCTGAGCCCTCATGGCTCACCTAAAGAAAAATGAATGGATGCATTTCTCTTCCTCCCAGCCGACCCCGCTCCTCTCCATCACGTGCGCCCGCTCCTCTTCATCGTGTGCGCCGCTCACTCCTTCCGTGGCCGGCAGCGGCCGGCTCCTCTCCATCGCGTGCGCCGCCCGCTCCCTCCATGGCCGGCTGCAGCGCTCTCACCCACCCCTGCAACTCCTTCCCCCACCTCGGCGTCCTCCCCCACTGAGAGCCCTCAACGCCCGCAGATCCGGCGACCCTCTCCCCACACCGGTGGGATCCATGGAGCACGAGCGAGATCTTTTGGAGGTGGCGTGGCCGTGTTGTAGGGAGTCGGCGGTTCTCCCCCACCCGGCCACGACGCCCTCGCCACCCCTGGCGGCGCCCTCTCTCACCTCGTCGGCCATGGCGCTCCCCACGCCAGGCTCTCTCTCTCTCCCCTATGTTGCAATTGTATGTTTCAGTTGTTTCAGACGTTCCAGAGGGGTATGTTGCAATTGAATCATATAGATGTTGCAAAGGTAGATCGGGGATATTGCACATGTTGCATATATTGCAAGTGTTTCAGAAGCATATTGCAGGAGTATGTTTTGAGTGTTTTAAATGTTTCAGAAGCATGTTTCATCTGTGTTTTCCAGATGCATGTTGCATTTGTGTTTATCTAGATGTTGCATATGTTTCACACATATGTTGCATGTATTTTTTGGATGTTGCGTATGGTTGCAATCGTTTTCAAGTGTGTTTTAGGTGTTTTTATCAAGTGTTTCATAAGCATGTTTCAAGTGTTTCAACCGCCTTCAGACGTATGTTGCAACCGTTGTATTCGGATGCTTCAAAAGTAGATCGGGTGTTGCATCTCTCCTTCTTCCACCATCTGCTACATCATTCGAATCAGACTTACGCGCCCTTCCCCTCTTGTCGCTTGGGTGGCGCGGGCCCCGCGTGCATTGCGAAATGGGCGCGCGCTCCACGGCGCTGCAGAGGGGGCACGGCGGGAGGCTTGCAGAGGGAGCGCGGTGGTGGGATGGGGTGTGGAGGAGGTAGGCCACGGATGGAGACGCGCGCATGCATGCTGATGCTGTTTATGTATGCGGGTGCCAGAGCGTCTGGACGCGCTTGACGTCCAAGCGCTAGGCGTACCGTTTGGGCTATGATGTTCGTCATGCCACGTCGCGACAACATTGTTCGAGTGCATGCTCGCACGTAGCCGACTACGGGCAACAAGTCGCAGGGCATCGCGCTAATTGCACGCAACGCAGGACATAGCCCCGAGCGTTTTTTCTGGTTCGCGGTATCGAGGGATCTGAAACGTGGTCGGCGGCACCGGCACCGGTCGTCGCCGCTGCCGCCATCTAGTATATGATGAATTTCACACTCGCTGGTGCGCTCGATCTCTGTTGTGTGTCCCCCTGCTGCAAGCCTGCAAGGGCGTGTCCCAGTGCGGTCCGGCAAGGGCGATCGAGGCCTGTGTCTAGGCCGGTGAGGAGAGCGCTACCGCATGACTTGCTGCTACCTGGGCGGCACCTAGCCAGCCAGCGTATGCGCATGCATGTTTGACGGTCGGCGACAGCGGCAGCGCCGGCTGTAGCCTGATTAGACCGCCAACGCGGGGGGAGCGTGCCTTCATTCCATCCCCGCTGGCGCCCTGACTCAGTTCTTGCTGACCGGAACAACCACACGACAGCTATGGTGTGCTGTGCTGGCTTTGGTCCTTGATCGGCCGCGCTTGTCGATCAAACTCATGACACGTTCAACATGAGTTTAACAATTTTACCTCACATTACTTCTCTTCTAATCATCAAAATCTTTACGTTTCAACAGGTGACCACCAAGACACGTTAAACATGTGTACATCACATGCAAGAGACATAGACCCTGTGTCGCTTGTGTTATAAGCCATACTATTTCAGTGAATAAACAATATTTTTCTTTCATAATAAATCAGCGAACAATACTTTCAACTATGTATTTTCAGCAAACCAAACATGCCCATATTGCACGTACACAAGAAGCCAGATCGATGAAGCGACAAGGCTCGAGCCGACGTTGCTAGCTACGAATAGGAGTAGCTAGGTAAACGTAGGTCCAAAGTTATGACAAGTATCATGCGTATGTGACCCACTGACCCTGATCCCTCTTATCACTGACCAATGACCAGTCACTAGTGACAATGAGTGAGTGACTGACCAAACTAGTCTTTTGGCCTAACAAACCATTAAGAAAGGGCGTGGCTAGTGCCCATACCGTCCGTCCGTTCGACGTATGTTCGCGTAGCCCATCTCTGTCTGCGCCTTCCTCCAGACCCTGTCCGCCTTCGCTCCGTTCCACGCGCGCACTTCGCCCACCGAGCACCTCTAACCCCCTCCTCTCTCTCTCTCTCGTCCGGGCAGCACTTAGGAGCTGGGATGAGCAGCTGAGGATGAGTACGCCCCCAGTGCACCTTGACCACAGCACCACCGTCCGCCAGCCCCCAACGCCCAGTCCGTCGGCCCCTAGCACCCAGTCCGCTCGCCCCTGGCAGTACAGCATAAAACTCTTGCAACATGAAAACATTTGAATGAAACATATGTCTAAAAGTGGTGAAATATTTGAAACATGCACTTGCAACATGTGTGTGAAACACACGAAACATCCAGATTTCTAACTTGCAACGTGAAACCACTTGCTGCAACATAAGACTAAAATAGCTGAAACATTTGGAACATACGGTTGCAATATATGTGTGAAATATATGCAACATCTAGATAAAAAGAAGATAACATACGTATGGAAACAGATGAAATATTTTGAACAAACACTTGCATCATGCCTCTAAAACTTTTGCAACATATGCAACATCTCCCGATCTACTTTTACAATATCAAGATGAAATAATTGCATCATATATCTGAAACATCTAAAATACTTGAAATATATATATGCAACATAGGGGAGGGTAGGCCGGAGCAGTCGGGGTGGGAGCTGGCGGCGAGCCACGGCGTGTGAGCACCTCTAGCACCAGCCACGCTCATGGGTGCCCTTGGCTCGACCGGGGAAGACAAGAGGCGCCACAACACGTGTGCCCCAGCCATGGTGGGGTCAGTGGCGCACCCAACTACGATGGACGACTGACGAATGGCAAGTGAGCGAGTGACGTAGGTGACTGCCACGCAGGTGAGCGGCGCGACGGGTGATGGGGGAAGGGCATGGCGCGGCAGCCCGATGAGCGCGTGCTGGGAAGGGGGTGGACGGATGAGCAGCCACGCCGAGCGACACAGGTGGCTGCCACGCAGGTGAGCGGCGCAGGAGGAGGAGGCGTGGGCGTGGTGACGATGGGGAAAGGAAACGGCACGGCAGCCCAATGAGCACGCATCGAGAGAAGGGAGCGGACGGATGAGTAGCCATACTACTTTGGGGCTAGACGGATAAGCACCAAGAAGGTAGGGTGGGCTTCAAGAGGGACGAGTAGATAAGCAAAGGGGATATGAATTTGTTTTTTTTGTTGAAGCCTGCTCCTAGGAGCCATATCCGGACGCAGAGTGACGAACAGACGTTGAGAAATGGTGGTCGTAGGCTTGGGTTGGGTCAACGCCCTGGTCTACCGCCTCGACCTACCTCGTAGAGGCTGAACGGATCCATCTCCATCTCAGACCGTCTTGTACTACTCCTAGGCTGGGAGCAACCTAACCCACATGCCTAGCGTCAAACGTCTTGCTCTCTTAGGGCCTGTTTGGTTCCCATGGACTAAAGCATTTTGGACTAAAATCTACACTTTAGTTGGACTAAACAGCCAAACACTTAGACTAAAAGTGGACTAAAGTACTTTAGTCCTTTAGTCCAAAAAGTGGACTAAAAAATCTCTTTCACTCCCGCCCTTGTCATTACTGTGCCGAACTAACTCCCATGCCCCTCCCGTTTTCCCCGCCGCTCCTTCCCATCTCTGGTCCCTGCGCCGCCACCTTCCGCAGCGATGCTTT